ATAGGTGACATGTCCATGAACATTTGCCGACTTTTCAATCAATTTTAATAATTTTTAAGCACTTTGTTTATCATTTTACGCTTTGATAGTGGTATAATCTTCTAATATAGGGGCTTTTCAACGCTTTTGTTCATTTTTTCTACATTTTTAACTGCGGGGTCGAAATAACAATGATTTACGTCAAATATATTAGCAAACCCCCCAAATTGTCAAATATTTTTCTTATCATTTTAGGCTATTTGAATCATGTTACGGTCACCTCAAATACGTTCAAATTTACATTCAACAAACTTAAAATATCAAAATAATGAGCACGAGTTTCTACTGTAAATGTGCGACATCACAATAATATAAATACAAAAAATGCTTTATGTCTTTTTATATTTGTGAAGAAACCAAAAAAAACACATTCCCAAGCTGGTTTGCTCAGGTAGTCTTCATGCAATTACTTGCCACGCCAGATTGATCTTAACTTTTTTGACATGTCGATCACCTGACCCTTCGGCTATTAGGATCATTTGCGGGCATTTAATGTTTGAAAATGTTTTAAAAATTGCATTCGTTTGCACTTGTGTCTTTCGTAATGTGACAGGTGACCTTTTCGTGCTCATTGTTGAAAACTCTGTTTAAAGTAATGTTTTATTGCTGACTGTTCATATCGGTGGAATGATTGTTCACAGTTATATGGAGTACTCCCTGAACCATGGCTGTCTTACTGGATGCGGTATTTACATTGTTTTGATACTGGTCATACATATTGAACTTTAAAAAAACAACAACTTTGAGTGTTATTTATACGGAGCAGTTTGGTCTGGTTATCTGCGCATTATTGCACATCAGTGTTCTTATTTCATTTACATAACAATGACAGGGTAACACAATATATTCTAATGACAAGTCAATACAATATATCTTAAATGTATGGAGATGATGTTGTAATACAAATCATAACAATCAATTTGCTACTAAAAACTGTCATACTCTCCGGCTTTTGACAATGCATTTCGTGGCGTGGTTAACGCGATACATCATAATAGCCATGTTTCACCAAAGCACCCAACTGGTTGGGTTACCTTTCCAGGTAAATGTATCAAATGTTTTGTTCTGTCTAACAACTGGGTTAAAACAAGACATGTGCTAATTTTATTAGAAATGTCAATCCTACATAAAGATATATACTTTTAACATATTACATAATTCTTTCAACACGGTAAATGGAATTAATGAGTCATAATTACAGTTATGTAATATGTACAGATATGTTATTGAAGTTACGTGTAATGGCAGGTCCGTAGTTTTTTTTTTGGGGGGGGGGGGGTCGGGGGGTTTAGTCGAACCCCCTAAATTTTGGAA